ATCAATAAGATATATTTAAAAAATATTTTTTTAAAAAATATGTATATTTTTTAAAAAGAACGTAATTTATACATCATTGCCTCAATGCAAGCAAAAAAAAACAGCTTGATGAGCTATGGATTATTTTAAATACTGAAAAAAATCAGCTTTCAGGACAGCTGCCAGATACACTCTCTTCCTCAAAAGATCATTAGTTACAATTTAGAGAAAGCTTAAAGCTACAAAATGCCAAGGAGAGATGTTAAGAACATAGAATCAGAAGTAAGAGAAAAATGAAAATGGGAGAGCTTTGGAGGGAACTGTGGGCAGCAGTAGGAAGCATTTTTATGTGGAGGACAAATATGCCATCCTCTGGGATCTCCAGAACTGGCCTCCTGAATTAGGGTGGGTCTCCTGCACTACGGGTTGCTTTATGGGGCCTCCTAGTGTTCTGGCCTGTGGACCAGCCCTATAATGTTTTCCTAACTTGTGAAATTCCACCTCAGATCTCCCTTACATTATCCCATATTGCAGATAACTTGACATAAAAACACAATGGTTGAGGGACTCTGGCTCTTTCTTACTATGTCCCCCTAGAACAAAAGGAAGCGATCCAACAGGACACCCTAGTTCTGCTTCCTTCAGCATAACAGGAAACCCCGATGTTCCCAGCCAGCTGGTCCAACTGCCTGAACTAGAGCTCAACAAGCAGACTATAAGCTCCTTAGAAACCAGAGCTGCATTTTATTCATCTGTGAATAGCACAGTAGTTAGTGAAGAGCCTGCTTTGGCTTGAACGTTGATTCCTCCGCTTACTAACTGGGTGACTTTGGCCACTTAACCTCCTTAATAATCTTGTTTCATCGCCTGTAAAATGGGGATGATGATGCCGGGCTCGCCTGACTTGCGGAAATTAAACGTGACAATTGTATGTAATGCTTCTGGTGCAGCTCAAAAGTCTTTGTTGAGAGCTTGAAAGAACAGTGGCTTCTATCCAACTAAGGCTTGTGTGATCTCAGAAGGAATTGTGTGCGTCTCCACCAAGTTTAAAGGAAACTTCCTTTGCCAGAGGCTGCAAATGCTACAACGTGAGGGTTAAAGAGACATGTCTACACCTCAAGGGACGGGCTTGGTTTTCATTTCCTCTGCATTGTTTCCATTTTTATATGGATTAAAAATACATGGAATTAAAAATAAATACAATTTTTTGAAGGGGGGGCGGGGATCGGGCTGGCAGGGTTCCTGGCTTATTTGCTGATTCTTTTAGCTCTTTCAGGGACAGCAAGAACACAGTAATAATTACCCATATTAATATGGCTGCTCATTCCCATCTGGACCGGGGGATAGACACAAAGTACAATCATCCTCTGTAGTTGTAGCAGGTGTTTCTTCACAAGACCTCCGGGTAGCTTCCATGTGTCGTCTGCTGGCTTCCATAGATTATCTTCCCTAAGCCTTCTGCTTGCCCCTCCGCCACCTTCCTGCTCCCAGGCAATGGAGGGGAGG